ATATATATATATATATATATAATATGCTAGAAGTATTATGATAGAAGAATAATATCAAAGTTTATAAGAAAACACTTACAAAGAGATGTTTGAAAGAGATAGATACTCAAAGAAAATTCTTTTATAGCAAACGATATTATACAAGCTTTATATCTTAAAACACTTGATGCCTTACAAGAGAGGAGATCTTCCCCTTATATAGGCAAACTCTCCCTTACTAAATTACAACTGAGGGCTTTTAAACTCCTCGTTATTGAAGGGTAGGATTGGAAAACAAAAAATAGTATAATAATTTACATAAAGTAAGACTTCAGAAGATAAGGAATCTTAAAAAGTCTTTTGTCGTCTTGTAGAGCTAGCAAATAACTTTTCTTGAAATGGCAGACCATATTTTTGAAGTTTTGTTTTGATGCGTCGGCAAAAGAGATAGTTGTCTAAATGCGTCAGCAAGTAATCAATTCTTCTTTTGACTAATCAAACATATCTTCATTTCGAAGATAAGGGTTAGTTGAAACAGAATCTGAGGATCCAGTTTCTTCTTGAACTAAACCATCTTGTAGTGCATGAATAAGGCGAAGCCTTTCTTCAAATTCTTCTTGAGAACCAGCAGATGCTAGTTCTGCCATAATTCTACTTTTGTTTGCTAAAAATTGAGAATCTTTAGCAGTTCTTTTCTTTTTCTCATTTTCTTTGATTAATGGGGCATTGGACTTTACCCAGTCATCTAATCTTTTTTTGCTTAATAAATAAAGATCAAATTTTTTCCACCATTTGACCTTAATGCATCTTGTCAGAATTTTTATTAGTAACTCATCATATGGGCTTCTGAGAAGATAGTCCCATGAAACTATCTGTCGCAACCGAGATCGCGATGGGACGACAAAAAATAAATTGAAAAAGAGGAGTCGCCATCAATGTTATTTTTTACGAAAAAATATTGGAAAAACCATAAAATAGAAAATAGTCTACGAAAACCAATTTTTTTAGTTCAGGAGTCGATTACATGTGAGGAAGGTATTAGCACCTTACAACGTTCGTCCTATGTCATGTGCTGGCATGTGGCTGGCATAGCTTTCCAGATCAGTGGGTTTCACGGGTCAAGCCTTTAAATAGGCTAGACTAGTTCGTATATCTACCCTTAATGATATTAAAGATCGTCAACCCAACCACCATTGTCCATGTAGTGGTTAATCAAAACTTAGTAGTGTACAATTTGATGTAGAACTTTCCCTGTCAAACTGTAGCCCATTGGATGAACTTTACCTCTATCACCATAGAATCTTTTTGAGTATATATGTTTACTAAAGTAAGAATTGATTGTGTAAGATAGTTTTACTCAATCATTTTTTATCAATGGAAAAAGTAATAAAAGAAGAAAAAAAATAACTACTCCTAAGGTACAAGGTTCTTATAGCATCCACAAGGACAAAAATAGATAGTTGTCTTGGACACTTAGACAAAGCAAAAAATTAATCAAAATAATTGGATCCTAATCTTGTCGATCAATCAGCGTATTTGTCTCCCTCCTTATAAATTATGTCTAAAGGAGATATCCTAAGGGAAAGTGAGAAAAACTCTAATTTTGGAAATTAGAGGAGCATATGAGTGAAATACCAACACCGTTGCTTAATGAGCAATAACTCATTCGTTAAATTTGACTCACAAATAATAGAGTTGTATCCCATCTTATGTTCGATACGAAGATCGTGATAAAATGTCCAATAATTTTGTATATACATTAGTTGAGACACCACAATATCTTGCAAATCCTTGAAATCATTGCCTGTGATGATTTTAAAGAAGATCGTTAAAACTTGACTTGTCTAGATTTTTCAAAGAGTCCCCATTTGTGTTGATTTTGAAGCAAATTTTTTATTAAAATTCAAAATGAAAAAAGAGTCATCATGGTATTGATTTGGTTGATCACATATCAATCATGTCAAATAAAATCCTGAAAAACTTCTTAATTCTTTATCCTCTTATGTAAGCAGTGATTGCAAAAAAATACATCTATTACTAATTGAATTATCTCTCAACCTACCGTAAAAATCATCATCATCATTTAATTATAACATATAATAAATTTATTGATTTTTTAATAATTATTATATATATTACTTCATTTTTATTAATTGATATATATAAATACCGACAATAGAATTCATTAAACTTGATTTATATACCTACTTGATATATTGCTCTTAGCCTAAAACTATTGGTCCATCGATGAATGTGTGTGTGAGATTAAAGATTTAAGGTACCATTAATTTTCACTTAGTGATTAAAGTTGGATTCCAAATGAGATCTGCCATGGAGCAGTGTACTCCACTAGTATTTCCCGGTTCTTAGGTCATTGGTCGTTGTCTTTTTATCTGTTGGACGCCTTTGGCTTTTCTTATGCTTGCTTATCTCCACCACAAATGTTAAGTAACAC